CCCCCCCCCCCCCCCCAAAATGAATTACGGATTTATTCGACAGTTAAATCGCTGAATGCAGAATCGAAGTAGTTTAGGTGTATAGTCTTTATCGATTAACCAAAGTATCATGAAAAACATCATTCATTACTACTTGCCTCTTATGTTAAAGCTAAAGATGTTTTTGATATAAGAGTAGGTCCAATAAGAGGTTCTCTTATTGTTTAGATTACAGAGTACATATAAACTACCATAGTAACACTCTCACACCAGTATCAAACAGATAAGACGTGGTACATTATTACTCGATTGTAGATTATCAGGCTTTTTTGCAGACATTCCCATCGCAGATCCAACCTTCTTTTGCTTCACCACCTTCTTTCTTCACCTCTTCCTCTTCTCCGGTGTTATCATTCTCCTCCTTTCCAAGAGCACACTTGGGATGGAGATCAAAGTCACACTCATCGCAATGGAAGGACCAAATAAGCCCCTCTTCATCGCACTTGTCGCACATGTATGTCCTCACACGGGTAAGCTCGAGTTCATGCTCTTCATGTAGACCGTGTTTCACTTTCTCAGGCCACCCTTTTGCCATCTCGTCGTACTTGGCCTCGACCTCTTTCAAACGCTCCTGCGTAAAAGGATAAGCATCAGCTCCATGAGCCCCGACAAGGTCCCTTGCCTCAGTTGTGATGGTTCTGCCGGTTGGTCCAAGAGCCACTAGCATTGGGATTCCAGAGACCTTGAAGGTTCGAGCCAGCGATTGTTTTCTCGGATCACCAAAGGGGAGAGCCAACCACGGCATTTCTGAGTAGTACTCATCGAATGAAGCCTGGTCCCGATCACTGGAGATGAAGATCAGCTCAAATGCCTCGTCTCTAGCCTTGATCTGCTTGTATACTTCAACGAGTTTTGGCGTAAAACCACGACAAGGAGGGCACCAGTGAGCTGAGAAGTACAGCAGAATGTGCTTCCCCACCAGATCCGATACACGCACCTAATAGATCAGTTTCACATCATTGGTCACGGAGAAAGACAAGCAATGAGCAGAACCGCACGATAATGTTTTTACGGGATGAAGGAATTTAAAGAGAAGCTTTACCTTAAGCCCGTCTTTCCCGAGAACATAGTCGAGATCATCCCAGACCAAAAGTGACTCAAGTGTCTGAGCCTCAGCCTTTGCCCTCGCAATGGCCTCGAGCTCTTCAAACTTCTCCGGGGTGAAAGGGTACGCAACAACTCCGTATTCTTCAACAGCTTCAACCACGTTTGGGTGACGGGTTTTCCCATCAGGCCCGAGTATGACCAGCATGGGAAGACCTGAGAGCATGAAGTGCCGAGCAAGCTTCGAAGAGCTCTTGTCGTTAAATGGTAAAGACAGCCATGGCATGGTTTCAAAGTCCTGTTTGAAAGATTCTTCGTCGTCTTCAAGAGATATCATCACCACTTCAAAGTTTTCCCCCATCTCCTTCAGCTTGTTATAAACCTCTACAAGCTTACCCGTAAACTCGGTGCATGGCTTGTACGAGGCAACCGAGAAGTATAGACCGATGATCTTCCCTTCGAGCTCCGATACAGGTACCTAAAATATATGCATAATTGACGGCTCTCATCAGATCATTAGAACAACTTCTCTGTCTTTCCCACTTATAATTTGATAGGGGTGACACGAGCCGGGTACTCTAGTTTTTTGGGGTACCCGACCTTAGCCTTGCCCCAGAAATTTTGGGATACCAGGCGGTATAATCTGGTTTCAAGAGGCTTGAGTACCCCCGGCTCAAATACTTGAACCTGTGAAACGTGGGGTTATAACGGTGATTTTTGCACGAGAAAAGACCTAGAAATCGTTGTAATTACTCTAAACACTAGGGGTCGACTATATGTGGCGGGTAACTCATCACGCAGCGAAAGAACCCGAATACGAACCCGCAGTCCAGATTCTGCATCTCATCCTACCCGTACTCGGCCTTGTTCGGTGCATTGACCCACATTGCGGTACCCACAAACCCATGGGGTAATCGAGTTGTAATGCTCACCCCTATAATTTGGAACGTCGAAAAGATAGCGTTTTAGAGGCATACCGTGTTCCCGTCTCGTGAAATCACAAAGTCCCTTGAGCCCGTCACCAAGACAGATTTCAAGGTTTGCTCCCTCCTAGCTCTCTCTTCTTCTTCTTTGATCTCTTTCATTCTCTCCGGTGTAAAAGGGTAAGCTTCAACTCCGTAACCTCGAACCATTCCGACCCCATTCGTGTTCACAACTTTAACGTTTTCATCGAGGATCACGAGATTGGGGATTCCCCTCACCTTAAAGAGCTCATCGAGACGATCTCGGGTTTCTGAATCGGTAAAAGGTATTGCAAGCCACGGCATCTTAGAGAAGTACTCTTTGAAAGACTCCTCATCTTCATCACCCGACACAAAGACAATCTCGAAATCGCCTTTCGGGGAGAGTTCATTGTAAACCTCTGTCAACTGCGGAGTGAAATGCTGGCATGGTCCGCACCAGGCAGCCGAGAAATACAATCCGAGCTTCTTCCCTTTCAAGCTGTCAAGTTTCACCTGAAAATACAGGGAATGCATACACAGATACAGTCACCCTCCTCTCCATATTCATAGTCAGATACAAAATCCGAGGCCAAAAAACTTGAGAGTAAACAACTATTTGAACTACAACTTCACTTCAGTAGAAAGAAAAATAATTGAGAAATCGCAAAAAGACCAAACATTCATTTGATCATCTCACAGAGCACAACCCTTTGTAGATGTTCTTCTTCCTACCCATTTGTTCAACCTATCCAGCGGATCTATTGACTTCAAAAAAAATGAATTAGAACCCAGTTACAAAACAGTAGAAGAAACAATCCAATCACTGATCTTCGCCATCAACAACAGGAGAAAGCAGAATCACAAGACACATGTTCTATAACAAAAACATGAACAGATACACCAACCAATCACCAGGAAGAAGAAAACCCACGAGACAAAGACATGAACCCAGAAACCATAACCCGATCATCGACAAATAATTTCTGAGAGCAATCATCTGAAATATGCTTCGGAAGCGAACGGAGAAATTCAGAGAGATTTCACTTTACCTGCTCGCCATCGTTGCGGAGGAGGAAATCCCTCGCCGGAGAAGAAAGAAGAGTTCGGAGATCATGAGAATCGCCGGCGTTAACTTCACTGGGAGAGTTGGCCATGGGATGTTACGGACTCGGTGCTTTGAAAGAGATTCCAAGTAGCAAGTGAGTGTGTGACGACGAAGAAGAAGACGAACGAATGAAAGCGTAAATGCAGTGAGGCGGTACAATAGAGCTTTTGGGTTTTGGAATATAACATTGGTTGTGGTAAATTGACGGAATATTGCAGCTTAGCGACTAAGGCTATGGCTTTTGCTTTTCACTGTGCCCTCTTCAATTTTGGCATAATATTCGTACTTCCCAACTAAGCACTAATATTCTTAAACAAAGACTTCGACGGTCAAAGATTTTTTTTTTACATTTGCTCCAATTTAAGTTAAATTTCTATATTTGATTTATTAAAATTTACTAGATTTATAAAAAAAAAATTACAAAAAAATATAGAAATTCGATTAAAGTTTAATATTTAATACGTGAATCTCCCAAAAAATAATTGACAAAAATAGTTGGTCAACTATCACTCGAATTATTTTTTTAGAAAATAAATTTTGTCGAAAAAACGTAAAAAGAAATACTCATGTTTCTGCGGTTTTAGATTATCCAATTTCGAATTAAATATTCGAGTTTTGCGTAGTCTGATTTATTCCAACTGTTAAATATCATGAATGGCGAGTTTCGTAGGTTTAGACTTCTGAGTTTGTCCCCAACAACACTATGGATAAACCATTTTCATGGTACTTATGATTCTTTAATGACCTCGAAAGTAGGAGATTATGCGACCGAATCTCTTAAGATTATGTGAATTTGTTGGGAAAAAAACGTCCTGTCAGTTAGAGAATCTCTATAAGATCATCTTGTATATTGTGGGTTTTGAGTGCAATTGGAAACCATTGAGCCACTTGGTTTCTACAATGGAACTCTCTACTCTCCAACTTCATCCCACCAGATTCTCCTCTCAGCTTCAGAACAAACTCAACGAATTCCAAGTTCTGATCGAAAATTACCTGAGCTTGGGTCTTCAGGACGATAACATCAACCGAGATATCGAGTACATGGATATCCGAAAGCCGTCCTCCAATCTTAAGTTTGGTAACATATGTACTGAGTTTGGATAGATTTTGGTTGCTTCAATATGAGTTTATTTCTCGATTTCTCGAGAAAAGGGTCCCCGAGAGAGGAGGAGTCCTTGCTCGGGTCGCCCTTTTCCTACGCTCGGAGGAAACCAAAGTTCAGAGAGAGAGAGATAACATCATTAACTCGCAAAATACCCAAGCCTTCACATTCTCTACATTTCAAGCTTTACCAGTTGGTGGTGTTCACTATTCAGAAACCGAAAGCTTACACATCTTCTCTGACTATGCAGCAGTTCTTTGTTATTGCTTATTATCAACAGTCAATTGCCAGTTTGTTGTTTCTGAGTCGTTTTCACAAAGGCAAAGATCGTACCTTTGTCAACGCAGGTCGAAAATCTCAAACCTAAGGTTCGAGTTCTTGTATACGTTTGAGCAGTTCTCGTAAAGAGGGGTCCCATCTTCGGGTTCTTTGTGAGGATGAAATCCTGTTTCTTCGCAGCCTCTCAGTATATCCATCCCTCCAGGGTCCGTTAGCCTAAATATCCCATGCCTCCTGTAATCAAATTTCCAAAGCAAAAGTCTCAGCGTCAATTTTAACATCTTTTTGCTGTGACTTTCTCCACAATAACACACAGACACTGATTTTGAAGGGTGTCTTTGAGGTCAAGGCTTTATACGGGTCTACGAAAAATACAGGCTTTTTCTCAGCTGAAGAAATTGCAGTTCAAGCACGTTTCCGAAAACTATATTTAGACCGATGGTTTTAAGCAAATTTCCGAGTCAGATAATTGTTGTAAAGGAAATATAATAATGACATGAATGCTTAAGGCAGATACAAATGTCCGGATAGAGCAAGGTTTGGATGAAATTAATCGTTATAGACAACAGATCTGTTTTTTTATATATATTTCTCGAGATAAAGAAAATGGGTCAATATAAAAGAGGCTCAGCAGTCGGATCCATGTTAAAGACAGCTTATGTCAGTTCTTGAAGCACATACCTCGAACTATCGGTAGGAGCCACGACAATAGCAAAAGCCTCTGGTACCATTGCCTAAACAAGGAATGAAGGGAAAAACTCCGAACAGTTTGTCAAGAATCTTGTACAAGCACGATATAAGATGAAATATTTATGCGTCTGATTCAAAGGGCATTATATAAAAAATACCCTTATTTTGCTATTCATAATTCAACATATAACCTTCTCCAATTGTGACCATGTGACCCAAAATATAGTGTGGTCACATTTTAATTTTATTGATTATAACTTTAAATTTATGGTGATCTCACTAATTCATTATGTTCATACTTTTTATATCTTAATAATTATTTGATTAAAACATTATAAATTTAACGTTACGAGCAATGAGATCAATATGTGACCACACTATATTTTAAGTCATATGGGTCACATTGGCTAAGCTGGAGAAGGGTATGTGTTGAAGTATGAAAAGCAAAATAAGAGTTTTTTATAATGCCCCGGTCCGAAGAAAGAAAAATATCATCTACTACAACCACAGAGAAGATTCATATTGGCTCTCTTGCTGACATCTTGAATGTGTATATCAGATGACGAAGTTGAAGACAAACTGACCAAAACACTCTGATGCAGGGATAGATGTAATCATCTTTAGAGACTAAATAACGGGCTAGCAACAAAATGCGTTACCTGATATGAGTAATGAGTATGCAGATCTACTGATGACATGAAACAACCCTGAGAAGGATGAGTCTGTCATAAAAAAAAAAATTAGCTGAAATCTATCAAAGCAGCTACAGAACAGGAGAGATGTGCACTGATAACATAAAGTTCAACAAATGAGGGGGAAAATGAAAATAAAAGTTGAAGCAATTGGTTGAAAGTGTAATCTAGTCTAGGAGGAGAGAAGGGCATACATGTATCCACCCCACAGGATAAAGAGCATGTTCGTTTTGTATGGCAAAGACTTCCTCTTCGTTCAGAGCTTGACACTGCCATTTGTCGGCATCAAGTTAGCAATCAATCTTACTTGGCTATACAGCCCACGGGAGACATAACGACTGCCAGGAACCGATCAAGATAACTGAAATCCTACCAAGATACTCACAGAATTCGAAGTCGATTCTTGTTTAGGTATTATCAGAGTGGTCACATAAAAAATTCCTCTTTCCTAGCGCGTGAACAGAGTTAAAACACGATTAGCACACAGTTCCAAACACAAGAATGATCCTTCCAAATAACCCAGAAAGGGAAAAAAAACTAAGGCAGAGAAGTAGCAAATAAATCAAGAATCAATTGCATAAATAAGATCAGAATGACCAACAATAGTGTCACGGAGTCATAGTTTCAAACTATGTTATCAAATCCTTGAAACTATGTGATGAAAAACGGATCAAACACTGCTTCTAAGTGGAAACTTCAGGCACTAGAAATGATTTCCTGATAGATATCATATACCATAGCACCAGAGAGAATTTTCGTTTTGCTGCACTTTCTCACCATCCAACAATGTTTCGTCCGAATATCTCCTCATCACCTCAGAATAAAAATGAAGTTACAGGACGGTGAACACAAACCCAGATTCGCAGGACAAGTAGCACAAACCACAGGAAAGAGAGAGAATCTTACGAGAAAGGCACCGAGAGCCCCGCACGTCTCGAGGTCCTTCTCAGTGTTCTCTCTCGCGAGTTCGGCAAAATCCTCCATCAACCTTTCCGACTGCAAAACACAAACAACATTACTCGATTTCAGATTCCTAACTCAATTCGACATAATCACGCGAAAACCCCTTTACGAAGAACGAAATTCGTTTCTGAAATTTCTTACGATATGAACATCTTGCAAAGGCTTGGATTCCGAGGGATCGCCGTGATTATGATAGGAACTGGAGGCTTCGAACGGAGAAACGTGCGATGATCTGTGAGGCACGGTCTCGATGCAAGAGAGGGAGGGAGACGGAGAAGACTGTGTCACCATGGGAGAATCGATGAGCTCGATGACAAGAGTCTGTAATGCAGGAAGAATCCATGGACGGAGCAAAAGCGCATAAAAGTTAAGAAAGTGAAGGATGGGATGAGTGTGAAAAGAGTCATCACTAGTAAGTACTGTGTCAGATTCGTGATAACCGGTCCGGTTTAGTCGGTTAACCGGCTGATTTTATTAAGACCAAATTCGGTTCGATCAGAAAACATTATATCTTGTGCAGATATATACCATTGTAAATTTGTAATCACGAATTGTGAAGATAATGGGGGTAATTGGCTCGTAAATAAAATATTAGAGTGATTTTGTAACAAATAAAATATTAGGGGTGATTTCAAATACTATTTAGATATATTTTTGTAAATAGGCCGCACGCAGTTGAGTTTAAAAAAAAAACCCTAGTTTTGAAAAGACAGATCTAAAAAACCTTAGACTCGTCTCTTCTCCGCAAACAAACGCACCAGATCTCTCTCATTGTGGATCGAATCTCAAATTTGAATTCTTAGATAACGTGATAACTGATAAGCTCTCTTGTGTTTCGTTCGTTCGATTCGACGTTTCGGAAACTTTCGGGTGAGTGTTAGATTTTTTTTTAATGCAATTAGCATTTGATTATAGGACCGAGTTTGGGTTTTGTTTGCCGAGTTGTCTGGATAGTGTTGTCGTTGTCGGATTCTGAGTGTCGGGTGTAACTATAGGGTATCTGGAGATTGAAAGTTCGTATATCGCGGATCTTCTTTGTTCTTACGGGTGATCTGTTTGAGATTTTGATTCATGGTTCATTTCAAATACTTGCTGTTATTTTATGAATCGATTGTTCTGAATTATGTTACCCAATAAGTTCTAGGTGGTTCGGTTTTACGTTTTGGAACCCTGAAATGGAAAACGAGGGTGGCCTTAAGATTTATCTCTTACGGCTTCTGGGTCTGTGATCGTTTGATTGGATATGAAATTCTGTTTTATGAATTCTGATTGTACCTTATAGACTTTTTTTAGGATGGCTGAATCGAAATCTGCTTTGAGTAAGCCGGTGTTCACCAAGGTGAACGAGTTGAGGCCAGGAACGAGTGGGCATACATTGACAGTGAAGGTCGTTAGTTCGAAGACGGTGATGCAGAGAAACCGTGCCAGTGGCCCTCAGGCACGTCAGATGCGAATTGCCGAATGTCTTGTAGGAGATGAAACTGGAATGATCATCTTTACTGCAAGAAACGAGCAAGGTAAATTAAAAATGCTTCTATCGTCTCGACATTCATTCAGTCTGGTTACTATTCGTGTTGGTTTTGGTATTGAGATTTTTGGGTTACTCAAATTCGAACCTGAATGTCTTATGTCTCATCTCACGAGATATTACCCGACCTCGAATCCATTATGGTCGAATATCCGAACGTTGTGTACCCGAGATAATTTCCGAGTTTTTTCAAAATGTATATCGTATATTAGAAGTAGACTCGAGTCGATTCATTTAAAATGCCGGATTACATGGATTTAAATCCGAAATTTCAAGAAATTTCAATAGGGTTTCGCTCGCTTAATTTCATCTATACAATCCGAAATAGAGTTTTTTTCAGCCGTGCTTGTGGTATATGTTTGATATTGTTTTGTGGATTTACAATGTCTTTTGTTGCGTTATATGTTCAAGATTCTAACTCTTTCTGTTTGTAGTGGATTTGATGAAAGAAGGTAACACAGTGAATCTCCGTAATGCGAAGATTGACATGTTCAAGGGGTCGATGAGGCTTGCGGTGGATAGGTGGGGCCGAGTTGAAGTTGCTGATACTTCCCATATTGCTGTGAAAGAAGATAACAATCTTTCCCTAATTGAGTATGAACTTGTAAACGTTGTTGAGGAATAACTATCTCTTTCCTGTATGAATTAGAGTGGAGATTGATTTGAGATATTACATAAGATGTTGGGCATCATGATATAATATTCAATATATCTATTATTTTATGTAATAAATTCCATGGAATTCTAATTGTTTTAGGAACACCTGCTTTTAGAAATGATAATTTGATATTTTTTTAATTTCACAATGCAAATTCAAACCAGATATCAAAATAGATTTCAATGTATATGCATAAAAAATCCAAAAGAAGTCTTATGTACTTTTTCTTTATATGTTGATAACATTTTTATTGGTCGCAAATAGTAAAGAATTAGTAAATTTTACTAAAAGATGATTATGTTGTATGTTTTATTATAAAATATATTGGGCATTAAAATCGAAAAATACCATTCAAATGAACTTCTTTATTTGTCTTTACATTAAAGAGATACTTAAACGTTTCTATATATACGATTGTAAATCTATAGAAACTCTCGTTGATAAAAATACGAGTATAAGATTTGATTTGAGTAATTAGACTCAAGATGTAGCGGAGAAAATGTCTAGATGATGTGTAATACACATGATATATGTTATGTAGAAAGATTTATCAGACGATTTTAGTTGAATCTTGGACTTACACATTGGTGGAAGAAAAAAGATTTTTTATTATCTTAAAAGACTACGAATTATATTAATTGCTATTAAAATAAAATTTTTATTTCGTTCATGTAGATATATGTGTTTGTTTTGATAGTTTCTTTGTGTTGTCTTTGGTATCAAAACATTATCGTGGACTATAATAATATGCTTTTTGAGATCTTGGTTGCAAAAATATTTTATTTGAACGTTTATGATACCGTATATAGAAGACTACTACTTGCTTGTTCTTTCATACTATAACATTTTGAGTTATAATAAACAAAAAGATATCAACGAAATTAATATAGGCATATATATATATATATTAAAAAATCTTTGAAATGCATGCACGGAGAACATATAGTATATAGTTGAATTTAGAAAATAAATTAACATTGAGTAGTTCCCTAAATCATTTCATTTCACTTCATTGCAATCTCTTGCAATGTTTATATGAGAATGTCACCATTATATATCATTTCAATGCATTTAGATTAATTTTTGTTTTATACTCAAATTAATCTAGACAGTACACTAAGCTAGGGTTGGGCACAAATCAGATATCTGAGATTTTTGAGATATCTGTATCCATATCTAATCCGCACAATATTCGATTTTGAAGTTGATACAAAGAAAAAGAATAATCAGGTGTTTTGCCTTATTGTAATAAATCAGAATAAATTTCATTTTAAAGAAAAACACAATTATAATAGCAAGCCATTATAATTATAAAGAGCAGTTATGAAGATGAGATTTTTTGTTTAAAAGTTTACATATTTATATTAATTACAATATTTATAAATATAAAAGTCAATTCAAAATATCTTAGTTAATGAATATAAATATCTATAAATACAAAATAAAATCAAATCTAAGGTAATATCCTAATCTTCTAGAATACTATTATTGTATTCCCAAATACTATATCATCTTGATAAATAGACACCCTATACTACATCTATATATACTCACCATTCGCCACTATTTAGTTTCATAAAAAAAACATTGCACTCAAGAGAAAAAAAAAAAGATACAAAGAAAAAGAGACTAACGATATGGCGGCAACAAAGATGGTGAAGCTAGCAATCTTTATAGCATTTTTAATCACTGTTTCTCGTAAGTATCGATCTTATTTTATATTGCTCGTTTCTTTCACGCAAATTTCACATGCACGATCATATATATGAGGATATATATAGTTTTCTATATATATATATATACACGACCGTAATATAATGGTTGCTATATGTATATAAACGTTGCAGATATTTGCCAAGTGGCGGAGGCGAGATACAAAGTAATCAACTTCAGGTGCGAGAAAGCAGAGGATTGTGCAGCGAAGCTGAAAGATTTGTGTGGAAATTATGATTGTGTTGATAACAAATGCAGATGTGTGTCGGAATTTTTGGACCACAAAACAAACTCCGTCGACAGAAACGGTCCATAGGCTTCAGTTATATATTTGGCAAATTCTAAGCCTATGATCTCATATAATGTTATGTGTCGATTATAATAAAATGGTTATATATAGACCTCCATTCGAGATTTCGGTTATAGTTATATTCGGTATGAACTCTACGATACCGAATGCATATTGATAGAGTTTGGTTTATGAAAATGTGATTGAATGAATTTATGATGAGGATTACATCTCATATATATACATTGCATAAAAGACATAATGACATAAAACATGGAAGAAAACATGGAGGAGACATGAAAGAAAACATGTAAGAAATTAAGTATAATTAGTGGCATATTTTAGGAAAATAATTGTAATAGATAATAATAATATATCAATATACTAACATGTCCCCGCAAGATCGGTGTCGGATAGAAGACCGATCTTGGACCGAAGAAGCTCAAACCGTTGGCGTAGAAGAGATTTGGTGAGAGCATCGGCAAGTTGATCCGCAGATGAAACATGAGAGACGCGAAATTTCTGAGCTTGAACGAGACCTCGAATGTAATGATAATCAATGGTTACATGTTTCATCCGAGAATGAAAAACATGATTTGTCGATAGATATGTAGAACCAACATTGTCGCAATAAATAACTGGCATGTGAGAGAACGTGACACCGAGCTCAGAGAGGAAAGACATAAGCCATTGTACCTCGGACGCCGTCGAGGAAACTGATTTATACTCGACCTCAGTGGAAGATTTTGTAGCAAAGCGTTGTTTCTTGGACGACCATGATACAAGAGTGCGTCCGAGATAGATAATGTGAGCTCCCGTCGAAGAGAAATCATCACGATCACCTCTCCAGTCGGTATCCGAGAATGCATGTAGTGAGAGAGGAGAGGAACGTGAGATGAAAACTCTGAGGGATCGAGTGTCATTCAGATATCGGAGAATACGCTTGAGGGCTTGCAAATGATCCTAGCACGGGCGATGCATGTATTGAGATGGCTTGTTGACGGCAAATGCAATGTCGAGTGAAAAGAAGATATTGTAAACTACCCAAAATCTGACGGTACTCGGTAAGATCGGCGAGAGGAGACCCGGAGTTGAGTCGGAGGCTCAAGGTAGACGGGAGCAGGTTGGTACAGCCTTGGCATATGCCATAAAATGTTGTGCAAGAACGTCAGAAATGTACAGTCGTTGAGTGAGGAGAACACCAGTTGATATGCGGTTGACTTTGATGCCAAGAAAGTAGGATAATGAGCCGAGATCTTTGATAGAGAACCGACGAGCGAGTACATCAATGAAACTCTGCACATCCTTCGAGTGGCTACCCGTGATAATGATATCATCAACTTACACAAGAACATAGATAGTAACAATATCACGGGTAAGAATGAACAATGAGGTATTGGAGAAGGAGTTAACAAACCCACACTTAAGGAGAAACCGACCAAGTTCATTGTACCACGCTCGGGGGGCTTACTTGAGGTCGTAAAGAGCTTTGTGGAGCTTGCATACGAAGGATGGTTGATCTTTGTCGATGAAACCTGACGGTTGAGTCATGTATACATCATCGTCAAGATGCCTTGAAGAAACGCATTATTGACATCAAGTTAGCAAAGAGCCTAACCTTTGGAAACCGCAATGGTCAAGACAACACGGATTGTGGCGTGTTTGATGACAGAACTGAATGTGTCTGTGTAATCAATCCCAGACCGTTGGTGAAACCCCTTAGCCACAAGACGAGCTTTGTACCTGTCAATAGAGCCATCAGAGTGTCACTTAGTACGGAAAACCCACTTATAACCAACCATGTTATAAGACAGTCGAGACGGAACAAGAGTCCAAGTGTCATTGCGAATCAAGGCATTGAACTCCTCGACCATATAGCATCATGCCACTTTGGATCCTTAAGAGCTTGTGAAACACACGTAGGTTCTACGTCATGGTTTGGGTGAAGGACAGAGGTAAGACTAAGCTTGGGGTGAGGTTTAGAGACGTTTTTTTAGCGAGTAACCATTGGATGAGTGTTTTGTGGGGGAACAAGAGGTGATGGTGTGTCGGTGAGTATAGGAATGGGTGATCGTCAGTGAGCAATGTTTGGTGGTTCGGTAAGCATGGGATCGAGAGGGTCATGAGGCATCAAGTGCGGAGAAGGTTGAAGAGGTAACAAAGGCGGCAAAGAGCAGGTGAGAGGCATTGAGGAAGAGTTCCTTGCGGGTGATGGAACAACACGAGAGACCAGCTCAGGATGACAGTGTATAAGAATGATCATACTTGCATGGAACAAGGGAAGAGCGAGAGACAAACGGGAATGGAGAAGAGTCAACTGGAGAGTGAGAGGTTGAAAGAAGCCTAGAGTAAGGAAATTCCGACTCAACAAACTCAACATGACGAGAGACATATAAACGAGAAGTGGCAACATGCAAACAAAGGAAAACACTTTGGGTGAGAGAGTAACTCACAGAGACACAAGGGGCCGATCGAGGTTGTAGTCTATGACTAGAGTAAGGACGAAGCCACGTGTAGCAAAGACAACCAAAGGTACGTAGTTTAATATAGTTTGGAGATGACTCAAAGTCAAAAGGGGAACGACCGTGAAGGACCGGAGTGAGGAGACGATTGATCAAATAGACTGCCGTCGGAAAAACAAAGTTCCAAAGGTCCAAAGGGATGGATGCCCAAGATAAAAGTGTAAGTTCGGTTTCAACAACATGACGATGTTTACGTTCTGAAATACCATTATGCTCGGGTGTGTGGGGAGGAGAAGTAAGATGCAAAATACCATGACACGAAAGAAAATCTCTAAGTGCGATATATTTTCCACCGTTATCCGAATAAAGAGTGACAATTTTGGTGTTAACGCAATTTTCAACAAGAGATTTAAACTTTGGAAAAATAGTCAAAACATGATATTTGTGACGCATAGGGTAAATCCATATATATCGCGTAAAATGATCAACAAAGATAACGTAATACTTGAAACCGTCAAAAGAGGTGACGGGCGAAGTCCATACGTCCGAATATAAAAGTTCAAGAGGTCGAGATGAGGTAAGCATGGAAGTAGAAAAAGGACGTTTATGACTTTTAATATTAAGACAAGAATCACAAGACAATGGATGACTCGACAAAGAGGACAACGGAAGAGACAAACGTGAAATAATAGAGTTTAAAACGTCTTAAGATGGATGACCCAATCTAGAGTGCAACTCGGAGAGAGAGGTCTTGACACTCGAAAGAGCAAGAACCGAGGGCTTATTAGAGGACACGGACGAGGAATGGATAATCGGTCATTCATACGCACCGCTATTAAGGGGTTCGGTTAGTAGCGGTGCCCTCGTGTTGAGATCCTTCACTTGAAAGAAACGAGAAAAGAATTCACTGAAACATTGTTAGAATAACAAAGCTGATGAATGGAGATGAGGTTCTTATGCATGGTGGGAACATAAAGGATATTTTGAAGATTAAGACGACGAGAGTTAGAGGGAAGAGACGAGGAACCAGTGTGTGTTATGGCAAGTCCGGAGCCGTTGCCAATGATAACTTCATCTCCGCCTTAGTAGGGTGAATGGAGAGATAAATTAGTAAGGTCGGTAGTGACATGGTGTGAGGCTCCTGAGTCGAGCAACCAAGATGATGGTTGAGAGGGGGAGACAGTAGCGGTTTGAGCCAATGGTTTCCAAGGATCAGTGGTATGAGGTGGACTGGAGTCGGCAGGAGAGCGGGCAACCGAAGGAGGAAGCAGGCAGCATGTTCGGGCACTATGCCCTTGAACACCATAGAGTTGGCATTTTCCGAGGTATCCTCGAGACTGTGTACGCCATGGTTGAGATCGGGACTGAGTTAAGCGAGAACCCTGAGCAAGAGAAGGTCGGGCCATTGATGAAGGCTGGGGACCAAAACTAGGAGGAGGGCGCCAATGAGATCGAGAGGTATGTTGTGCCGCATAAGCAGAAATAGGAGAATATGAGAGATTCAAGGCAGCAAGGTCGACATCAAGACTCAATAGTTTCTCATGTAACTCGACAAATAAAATCGGAGTGTCTCGAGCATGTACGACGTCTTTGATACACTTGTACTCATCATCGAGGCCAGGAGAATTAGATCAATGAGATCCTCATGATCCATAGGTTTGTCGAGAAGTGCAAGCTCGTCCGCTTTAATATTGAAGAAGTTCATATAGTCGTTGATGGTTTTTGTGCCTTTTGTATGACGTCGCATCTAGTCTTTGAGTTGTTTGATGTAGCCACAACTAGATCAGCCATAGGTTTGGGCTAGAGTAGCTCATGCATCTGCGGCAGAGGTGGTCGACACTATAAGAGCTTGACATGGACTCGAGATCGAACCGAGGAGAGCCGAGAAAACAAGACGGTCCTGATGAAACCACGACTTATAGGTCGGGTTAGGAGATAGTACATTGTTGGTGATGATAGTGGCAGCCGACACTTTGGCCGCATCAAGGAAGTCTTCGAGGTTGTATCCTTGGAGTAAGGCACGAAGTTGTATACTCCATGTTAAGTAGTTCATGGCCGTGAGTTTCGAAACATTGACGTTAATCAACGTCGAGTTCGGATTGTCAGAGTCAAAGACCGTGACCGTGTCGCTCGGGAGATCGGCAGAGCTAGAAGGAGAGTCGGAAGATGTCATAGCGTAAAGAGAAGATCGACGACGTGAGTAATAGCCGAAGGAGGAAAAAAAGTTTCGAATGAGAAAAAAAATTGTCTTTCGATTTAAACTCTTGATACCATGATAAACTCTTGATACCATGATAGAGTTTGGTTTTAGAAAATGTGATTCAATGAATTTATGATGAGGATTACACATCTCATATATACATTGCATAAAAGACATAATGACATAAAATATGGAAGAAAACATGGAAGAGACATGGAAGAAAACATGGAGGAGACATGGAGGAAAACATGGAAGATATTAAGTATAAATAGTGGCATAATTTTAGAAAAATAATTGTAATAGATAATAATAATAATAATAATAATAATAATAATAATATATCAATATACTAACACATATAGTAACATTTTTAGTATACTAACAAAAGATATAAAGTATACTAAGAAAATACATATAAGTTTAGCGGATTCAGAAAGATTTATGATTGGGGGCAAAGTTAATTTCATAATGGTAAATTTAATTATTTTATGGGGGCATATAATAATTTTGTGTAAAATTTTATAAATTTTGTAAAGAAAATATTTTGTTTTTAAAAAAAGGGTGGGGGCCTGTGACCCCACTGCTAAAGAGTTGGATACTAAGAATCTCATGATGTGACGGTTAGGTGAACCAATTCAATCCGAAAGTTTTTTTTGATAATTACTAAGAAAAACTACCAAAAAAATAATTACTAAGAAAAGTCCACTCTCAATTTTTTTTTTTGAACCAGTAACAAAATTCCGGCAAATCTCCTGCATGCTCGGGAGAACCAATTCAATCCGAAAGCTTTTTTTGATAACCCTTTACTACTTATCGAGCCTTACTCTCGATAGGAATAATCTTTTTAGTATCTCTCTAAAGGGATAGTTAATGACACATTTTCCATCGAAAAATATATAAATTTAAAATTTTGAATAAAATAATCATTCACTAACTTAACCTTCATTTTGTGAAATGGGTTACACTAAAAACCAGAGAGATAAATATTTTTTATTTGGATTATTTTCACATTAAAAAAAATATATTCCTTTGTTTTTTGCATTGTTTTCCTATTTTAATTCATAATGGTTATTTATAAATTAGGTTTTTATCTAAAAGTAATTATATATATATAATCGTTTCTCTTATATTATTTGAATAATTTTAATTGAATTTGGTTAATTTAATATTAGAATAATCATATCTTTTATCTAACTGTAATAAATTCATAATAAATTACCTTTTAAAGAACAACACAATCATAATAGCTACCTAGTATGATTATAAAGAGTATTTAAGAATATGAGATTTTTGTTTTAAAGTTTAGATATTTACATTAATTACAACATTAATAAACATAAAAATCAATTCAAAATATCTTATTAATTGTATTCCCAAATACTATATGAATAGTAACACCATAATATATATACACACACCCGTCACCACTATTTAGTCTCACCAAAACATTGCACTCAAGAAGTAGAAAAAAATACAAAGAAGAGACTAACGATATGGCGGCAACAAAGATAGTGAAGTTAGCAATCTTTGTGGCATTTTTAATCACTGCTTCTCGTAAGTATCTGATTTTATATTGTTCGTTTCTTTTACGTAAATTTCACATGCACGATCATATATATATATATACGAGGATATATACGTTCATATATATATATATATATACACACGATACGATACGACCGTAATGTAACGGTTGCTATGTATATAAACGTTGCAGATATTTGCCAAGTGGCGGAGGCGAGATACACCGTGATCAACTTCCGGTGCCACAAACCAGAGAACTGCGCGGCCATGGCCAAAGATTTGTGCGAAAACTACGCTTGCGTCGATAACAAATGCAGATGTGTGTGGGAATCTTCCGAACGTAACCCTAACTCCCTCGACGACAGAAACGGTCCATAGGCTTCAGTTGTATATTCGGCAAATTCTAAGCCTATGATCTTATATAATGTTGTGTCGATTATAATAAAATGGTTATGGACTTCCGTTCGAGATTTCGGTTATATTTGGTTCGTATGAACGTTTACGATACCGAATGCAGAATATCACTTTTGATTTTACTAACAAAAGACATCAAGGAAACTATAAGACGCCGTACACGAATACATATATATATATATATATATACATATATAAGAAAATGAAAAAAAAAATTGGTGAAATTCATGGAGAAAATACAACGCATGGTTGCCGGAAGAAAATCAATCGATATTGGAGCTGTTTCATAAATTCCTTCATTTTATTCCCTTGAAATGTTTAAATGAGAGCAAAAACATTCTTTATAGTTTCAATGCATTTTAGATTGATGAATGTTTTAGTTTCAATGTATTTAAATTCCTTCATTTTTGTATTTACGCTAAACAAATCCTGTTGTGCCCATGTAAATTAATCTTTGTTGTTTTATATTATACGTTTATTTCCGTTAGTCTGTTAATTACCTAACTAATTGACAAGCTAATGTGTGAATAATCGCAATATAATATAACTCCAAAAGTTGATGTTTTTGTTTTTAGGCTTTGAAGAGGTCCTTGTCATAGAAATTAGAATTTGTTGTATAAATATTAAAAAAATCGATTAATAGAATGAAAAAAAAAAAATTACCCAAACAGTTGGTGGTCCATTGGCCTAGAGATGACAAAATCATTCTTAAGGTTCTGGGTTCGATTCCACAGCTGGTGGGGAGGGATGTAATTTCTAGATAAAAAATGGTCCATATACAAAGATTGTTCCTAGGTTTATGGTGGATTTAGTCGGATAGAAGGCTCGGAAACTATCCTGATTATTAAATAAAATAAAATAAATTGTATTTTTGGGTTGGGATGCACTCAGAGTTAGTATGGTGTCTAGTGCTTGACATAATTTGTGGCACTGCGTGAGCCCTTTTTATTCTTCTCTCCTCATGATTTGCCTTCTTTAAGTGCGTGTGTATGTGTAATTGCCACTATTTTAAATATATATATATATATATATATATATATATATGTATGTTTTATTTTTATTTCATTATTTTTGGGTTTATTTTCCATCGTCTTCTATATATATATATTTTTTTTTCATAAACACCTACTTTATGACAAATTCAAAATCTATTAGGATATTTGGATTTTTACATAGCTATTCCTAATCCTAAAATTTTGTATCGTCATTAAAAAAATGTCATAACAAAAAAAAAAATTGAATCAAAAGGTTAAAAAATATACAAAAAAACGATTTCCCTAAAATTGACAGAAAATATGCTAACTACAGAAAAATACAATAAAAAGAATAGTTTATACAAGTTCCATTAATGTATCTTTTGTGCCGCATTATGTCCAATACGTAAATAACAAAACATATTATTGTCTTACGTTGTAAAAGATATGAACAAGCTGTACAGCAGCATGAAAATAAGAAAACCTAAAATAATCAAATTGTTTTTATCATATGTTTGAATATATCCAAAGCATCCCCATAATTAATTGTAAAAAAATTATTTATTTTACCTAATTATGATTAAATCCAACATGATACTATTTTTTAGAAGGTATTGATGCGATATAATTGATTTATATGGGTTATATGAATATATCTACTCTAGAGAATAAATGTGTCATACAGTAGAAAAAATATTTGTTTATAATAAAATTTTATCCGCCATTTATTGGATAAAGACTGAGTAAATAAACAACTAATAAGTCTAATAAAATCTATTCAGTTATTTTATTCATTTAATTTAAATGGCATACTTAATTATAAAAAAGAGCAGACGTACGTGAGCCCATAATTTCACCAAGCTGTTATGTTTAAGTTCGTGCAGTGGAACTGAGTTAAAACCATTTACTTTTGTCGGCGAAATTAATTAATGCTTTGTGCGTAGGCATATGTAATTTAATGTGTGTGTATATATATATGTAACATATTTAAAAAAAATCAGCCAAATGCATGGAGAAAATATTATATAGATTTGGCAGGAGAAAATATCCATTTTACTCTTTTGCAAAAAAAAAAATTAATGTTGAAAACCAAACTGTTATTTTTAGGACGCGGGAGATGTAATTGGACTAAAAATCTAATAAATTTTTCGTATTATAAAAAAAATATTTGTGTTTGAAATAATAAAGGTATTTTACTTTATAAATTCAAAGGACTACTTTCTAACAGGCTAACATAATATATATTTAAAAAATTTAGTAAAAAAATAATCACTTTTTAGCTATCATAGTCTATATTTATGAATTGGGTTGATGCAATAGATATCATATTTTTTTATTTCCATTACCTGCGGATGTTAAAAACTATATCCATGTAAGTTTATTTATATTTAGATTCTGTTTTTAATTTAAAAATATTTATTTTTTAAAAAGTTAATTTTTATTTTACTTTTTTAGTTATTTTTTATATTTCAATTGATGAGATGGATTTGAATCTACTTAATTTAGTTTTGAGACAATGGCATATCTAATCGATTATCTCATTATTCAAGTATAATAAATGTCATTAAAATTATTCCGAATCAATATATCTAATCAAAATGTAAAAGTATATGCTTCAAACTTGCGTACTATAGTATGCATGCTATTTAATAAATCATCAAAGTTTCTACTCCATTAATTGATAGTTTTTCTATTTCAGCCTATAAATAAAGATTCACTTTCTCCCTTTCTTCGGCGTCAAGCATCTCTCTCGCGCACTCGCACTCGCACTCACACTCGTATAATTATTTAATTTATTTTATCTTTTCGACACTTTTGGTGGAGAGAATTATCTTTATGCAGCCTTATAATCGTTATATAGTGGTCTTTTCAAATAATATTTTTTTTTTATTCTTTTTTCATTTGGGTTGTGCTGCGATCTATTAACTGGGCAATCCAAGAATCCTATGTCCATTGTTAACGAGGAAACTTGGCCTAATAATTTCAAAGTGTTTAAATGTCGAAACGTCGGTTTAGTTATCAAATTTACATTTTGGTTTACTTCATGAACATTTTACATATGCCTTAGCTTCCTCTCTCTCTCTCTCTCTCTCTCTCTCTCTCACATATTATTTCGCTTTCTTACCGAACATACCATTCCTGTTCTCTCTCTCTCTCTCTCTCTCTTTCTCGCTCGCTCTCGCAGGGAGGATGAGCACTAAGCAAGCATTGTTTCTCGGCTTCGTGTGCTTGCTTTCATCGTCTCAAGTAAGAAAAATCTAAACTTCTGCTTACTCTTCTCTGTTTTTTATGCATTTTTCATCTCATTTTGACAATTTACATTTTCTTTTTCTTTTCTTTCAGTTTTAATGTTGACCCTTTTGTTTTTTTCCCACAAAAAATTTGCAGCTACACCCTACCGGAGCCGATCAAAACACCGGCGAATCTCCGGCGCCGGTGAACCCATTCACTCCAAAAGCCTCTCTGGTTCGTTACTGGGACAAACGCATCGATGGAGATTCCACGAAACCCACGCCGTTTTTCCTCTCAAAGGCCTCACCTTTATCCGCCGTAGACTCCACGCGCTTCGTCTCACTCGCGTCACGCCACGCTCTTCACACGCGCCTCCGTGACTTCTGCACCGCCGCCGTACTCTTCTGCTTCCCGGAGCTCGCGAATTTCCCGGCCAAACAACACGACGGAGACGTCAACTTTTCCGTCTACACCAACAAAAACTTCACCAACTACGGCTCTAACCGCCTCGCCGGCGCCGGCGACGAGTTCAAGAACTATTCCACAGGAGACAACATTGCAATTGATTCCTTCCGGCGCTACAGCCGAGACTCCGCCGGCCACTCCGACGGCTTCTCCACCTACGCCGACGATGCCAACGTCGCCGACCAGAGCTTCAACACCTATGGCGCCGGATCCACCGGAGGATCCGGAGACTTTACGGCATACCTCGCCGGCGTTAACGGGCCCAACGGCCGTTTTACCTCTTATTCCGACGACGCAAACGGCCGGAGTCAGTCGTTCACTTCCTACTCCAGTGATGCCAACGCCGGAGTTCAGGCGTTCACCAGCTACAGCAAGAACGGAAACGGGGCACCGAACGAGTTCTCGGGTTATGGAACCGGGTCGAATGTTGTTCAATCAGATTTCTCCGGTTATGGGCAAACAGCGAATGGAGAAAACGACACGTTCACGAGCTATGGTACCGATGGGAATATTCCGGTGAACAATTTCAGAAGCTATGGAGATGGCGGAAACGGCGGTGTGTACGGGTTTAAGAGCTACAGAGACGATTCCAACATTGGAGCTGATTCGTTCTCTTCGTACGCCAAGAATTCCGACAATGCCAAGATCGATTTCGAAAATTATGCGAAATCTGTGAATCTGGGTTCAGACAATTTCACCAGTTACGGACATGGAGCTCAGAATCAAGAAACGGGGTTTAAATCGTACGGACCAAATCCCAACTTCAAGGAATACACGAAAAACGACGTCGTTTTCTCGAGATACACGAACTCGACCTCCGCGAGTGGTAAAACCGTAAATAAATGGGTGGAGCCGGGCAAATTTTTTCGGGAGGCGATGTTAAGGGAGGGGACTTTGATGCAAATGCCGGATATTAGAGATAAAATGCCCAGAAGGACTTTTTTACCCCGGGCCATCACCGCGAAATTGCCGTTCTCATCCTCGACCACCCGTGAGATCCTCCGTATCTTCTCGGCAGCCGAGAACTCGTCGATTTCTCGTATCATCTCATACGCCGTCGCGGAATGCGAGCGGCCCCCGAGCCGCGGTGAGGTCAAGAGGTGCGTCGGCTCGGCAGAGGACATGATAGATTTCGCCACGTCGATGCTCGGGCGCCACGTGGCGGTCAGGACGACAGAGAGCGTAGCAGGGTCAAAAGGGACGATCGAGATCGGGAAAGTCAACGGAATCAACGGGGGAAAAGTGACGAGATCGGTATCGTGTCATCAGACTTTGTACCCGTATCTACTGTATTACTGCCACTCGGTACCTCGGGTTCGGGTCTACGAGGTGGATCTTTTAGATCCGAAGAGTCGGGTCAAGATTAATCACGGTGTTGCCATCTGTCATGTTGACACGTCAGCATGGAGCCCGGGTCATGGAGCTTTCCTAGCCTTGGGTCCGGGCCCGGGTCGAATCGAGGTCTGTCATTGGATCTTCGAAAATGATATGACGTGGATTATTACAAAGGTTTGATCTGAACCGTTCGTTTGTCATTGGTCCTGTTTGGCTTTCGAGTTTCGAGTTTATCTTTCTTGTCCTTGGTGTTTGTGTTTTTTTAAAAGCTTTGCTATTTTTAATTGAGATTTGCAAGTGTAATTTTTCCCTCTTTTTCTTAGATTGAATATGAACACTTTACAATAAGGAACATATATCTACTTATATAACATTCAATGTAATTGGAACGTATAGGAAAATGTGCATATGTGTGTGTGTGCGCCACAAATAATGGATGATTTGGGACTGAGTTAAGGCAGATAAGTCATGGAAGTTGTGTTCTTAGCTTCGCTAAACTCGTGAAGATAAGTTTAAGAGTTTTTTATAATGGAAATTTTATATAATTATCTGAATAAATATCAACACAAAAAAATACGTGAACATAGATATTTTTTATACACATCTTTTACATAGAATTTTTCATTCCATTATTAATATTTCTTTGGATTTCTTTCCATTTCTTGTTCCTTCAATTTCTCCGTATTATCATGTTTCCTTTTTTTTTTTTTGATAACGCTGGGAATCCGCCATCGACCCTTCGGATCGGATACCGCAAAGGGTCGGACGAAGGATACAGTATCGTGGACAATAAACCCAACGACTCCACGCAATAGCCGGTAAACCACGCGGAGCAGGTAAACCAGCCGAAACTGACCGGCTCAGAGAAAGTTTGACACCAGGAGGAATCGAACTCTCCACCACAGTTTTTGAATTGTTACTTTACCAACTGGGCTGGGGGCTTCCCTATCATGTTTCCTTTCCATTGAAACTCTTACCATTTGCTCGATTTCTTTTCTATTTATCAACATGTCAAGTTTCCTTTTGTTGTGAGTTCTTCCATTTGTTTGAACTTCTTTCCAAACTTTAACATGTAGAATTTACATATCGTCCAATAATTACTTTCGAAATGTGACCACATCTTTAATTTCATCAATTTCCAAAAAACTGTAATTGTAAATAACAATAATGTAGGGGCGATTTCATAAATTTATATAATATATGGTTTCCCTTTTAAAGTCTCTTCGTTTCCCTTGGTTTCGTCGATTTTGAAAACCCTCGTCTTTCTGGATCACTCTAAAACCTAAGGGGATGGATCTGATTCTGTCCTACGCCGACGGATCCCCTTCTTCGTCGCCGGAATCTTCTCCGCCGCGTGTTTTAGCGGCCAAATCTTCGGCTCCGGCGGTCGACGACACGGCACTGGCTCTCACGGTGGCGCAGGTGAATCAATCTCAGTCCAAGCCGATCAATCCCACCCAACATGCGGTTGTCTTCAACCCTACCTACGAGCAGCTGTGGGCCCCGATTCACGGTCCCGCTCATCCGTACGCCAAGGACGGAATCGCGCAGGGGATGCGGAATCACAAGCTAGGGTTTGTGGAGGACGCGTCCATCGGCTCGTTCGTGTTCGACGAGCAGTACCACACGTTTCACAAGTACGGTTACGCCGCGGATCCGTCGGGGATGAACTACGTCGGCGATGCTGATGCGTTGAAACAGAACGACGGTGTTTCGGTGTATAACATTCCACAGAGCGAACAGAAGCGGCGGCGGACTGAGAAGAAGGAGGAGGAGACGGAAGGGGAAGAGGGAAAGGAGGAGATGGAGCCGGAGGTTGAGAATCCGGCGACAGACGCCTGGTTGATGAAGAACAAGAAGAGCCCATGGGCGGGGAAGAAGGAGCTGGTTCAGGGGGAACTCACGGAGGAGCAGAAGAAATACGCGGAGGAACACGCGAAGAAGAAGGAAGAGAAGGGTCAGCACGGCGAAGGAAAAGGCGAGCATCACGCGGACAAGAGTACATTCCATGGCAAGGAAGAGAGAGATTATCAAGGGAGGTCCTGGATTGCACCACCGAAGGATGCCAAAGCCAACAACGATCACTGTTATATACCGAAACGATTGGTTCATACATGGAGTGGGCACACGAAAGGTGTTTCCGCTATCCGGTTCTTCCCCAAGCATGGCCATTTGATTCTCTCTGCAGGTATGGATACTAAGGTTAAGATATGGGACGTGTTCAACTCGGGTAAATGTATGAGAACTTACATGGGTCATTCAAAAGCGGTGAGAGATATATGTTTTTCGAACGATGGAACTAAGTTTTTGACTGCTGGATACGATAAGAACATCAAGTATTGGGACACAGAAACTGGTCAAGTTATATCGACATTTTCCACTGGGAAGATTCCATATGTTGTTAAGCTGAATCCAGACGATGATAAGCAGAATATATTGTTGGCTGGTATGAGCGATAAGAAAATCGTTCAGTGGGATATCAATACTGGGCAGATTACTCAGGAGTATGATCAGCATCTGGGTGCGGTGAATACAATCACGTTTGTGGACAATAACAGAAGATTTGTGACATCGAGTGATGATAAATCTCTCCGTGTCTGGGAGTTTGGCATTCCAGTCGTGATCAAGTATATCAGTGAGCCCCATATGCACTCTATGCCTTCCATTGCGGTCCACCCAAATACGAATTGGCTCGCGGCACAGAGTTTGGATAATCAGATACTGATCTACGGTACTCGGGAAAGGTTTCAGCTGAATAAAAAGAAGAGGTTTGCTGGGCACATTGTTGCGGGTTATGCTTGCCAAGTTAATTTCTCACCTGATGGAAGGTTTGTTATGTCTGGAGACGGTGAAGGTAAGTGCTGGTTTTGGGATTGGAAGAGCTGCAAAGTGTTTAGAACTATTAAGTGTCATGATGGAGTATGCATCGGGTGTGAATGGCACCCGCTTGAACAAAGTAAAGTCGCAACATGTGGGTGGGACGGCTTGATCAAATACTGGTATGTCGGTGACCTCTTGCATTTAACTCCTTTGTTTTAGCTGTGGTTCATTCCATTTCTTCTGTTTGCTTCATCGCGATGATGCATATTTTCGTTTGCGTAAACTACAAGTGATGCTAGAGAGTTAGGTTGTTAAGTGTATAGACTTGCAGTTTCTTGTGGAACCTTATGAAAGGGGAACTGAAGCTTTGCATCTTGGAGATATTTGGTTATTACATTGAATAGTTTGTCTGTTTCCATCATCATTTTGCCATTTCCTAGTTAATATGATTTAGCGTATCAGTACGGTTCTCTTTCTCTGTTCCTTGCCGTCTGAACATTTCTGAATCTAGAAAAGAATGTTACAAGCTATACCCTTTTGTTTCGCTTGCATCTTCGCAGGGACTAAGATGGGCATTTTAAGACCAAAACTCTCGATGTCGGGGGGTCTTGTAACATGCTTCGACACTGTTCCTTTATCCATTAATGGAGTTTCGGTGGAGGAGAGACAGAAAGAAAAAAAGAGATTAGAGTTGAAAAGGGTTTGCGTGCTTCAAACAGCTTTAGAGTTTCATGTAGACTCCGCAGGGAAGATGACATGTTTGGTTGGAAAAATTTGTAAGAATTAAAAAACTCTTTGACTTTCCCATGTTTTTGTTGACAGTCATAGTTTTCTGTGTTATTTTCTGTCTACAATTTCGGCAACGACTCTAAAAGCAAATAAGATTATGGTGATTCGAGGGGCAAAGGCAAAAATTAGGATACTGTCTAAAGGCCACCTCTTCTGGTTCGGATGTGACAGTACGGAAGGGAATAAATTTGTTTCCCAATCCCTGATTTAGTAAAAACTGTCCGATTTCCAATTCAATTATGTATCTTTAAATTCTTTTTTGTCAAAAATTATCTTCCTTTTTTTTAAATAGAGAAATACAATTGGTGTTATTAAAAGTTATTCTTAATATTTATATATCTGATTTAAAATATACACAATTGAGTATTATCAAGTACACAAACCTTAGCAATAATCTATAAATGGGTATTACGTACGTAATGTGGCCGATATATACATATGGGCCGAAAAAATTATATTTGGGGCAATTTTATAATGGGCCATAAATTTTAAGGCCCATAAAATTATAACGCGCGACTTCATAACGTTATCGCATTTTGTTACCCAAAGATGCAAATTGAGAACAAGAAGGATCTCTGCTAAGAACACTGTGTTCTCTCTCTCTCTCGCTCGCTGCAGAGGACAGGAGAGAGACAATATATATGCTACGAGGATCAAATCACCGGGTCGAGCCACTTGGTCTTGCGTAATATCATCGCCGTCGTCTTCTCTCTCCCCCAGATCTGATCCTCCGCCATGGCGTCTTCCTCTGCGGTCCGATCTCTCCTCTCGGTCTTCTCCGCCGCCGTTTTCCTTCTTCTCGCTCCCGTTCTCGCCTCCGAGTCAGATCACAAGGTTAGATTCGGATCTCCGGTGACCGCCTCTGCACCTTGAATTGTGCTCTTGTTTCCTAGATCTCGCGATTTGCATGGTGTTTATGGCTTATTTTGATGTGGATCTGTTCGTTTTTTGTCGGTGTTGGGGCTTCGAGGTTTGATCCTGTTGCCTCTTTGTTTCAATTCTGGATAGTATTATGTCGTGCTTTCAGCATTATGGATTAGGGTTTGCTATGTGTGAACATTTCCATTGAATTTGAGTCTCGTTGGTCCGTTTGCTTGACATACCAGTCAATTCGATGTAGAAACTACTTGGATCAGTACTAACGTGTTTTTCATTTTGGGGGAAGTTTTCGTTGGATGTTTTCACGTGCCCTTTTGACATACTAAGCCTTTGTAATTCCACTTCCTTGTTAGCTGTGGGAGTGGAATTTCCACCTGAAATTTCTTGTTAGGCTATTTAGATCTTATAGATATTAGTGGTATAAGAGATTAGGTCCCAAAATGTTTCAAAATTGCTACAGATTTTGATTCCATGGTAAAATATTGAAGTCAGAGTTTGATTTTGGCCGCTTTCCTTTCCTATCAAAATCATTCCACCCTATTCTCATAGTGGAAATCATGAGATCTGGGTTGGTGATGGCTTTCTTTCTTCAGCACGGTCTATATTTCTGAGGATCTAAAAGTAAGTTGAAATGCTTTGTAATGATAATTAAATAAAAAATTTTCAATGTAAATTTTTGGGGTCTCGTGTCATATATGTGAAACCTATAGGCCTTATTTTTTATATCGTCTGCCCTTGAATTGGAATAGATGCTATTATGCATATTTGGCTGATTTGCCTACTATAGGCTGTAAAGAATATGTTTTGAAATGAGCTCCAATGGATATCTAGGCTTAGTTTTTCGTACCTATCCTTACTGAACTGTTGGTTTCTTTTCTGCATGTCTTGGTCCCATCATAAGCTTTCTTTCTTTGCATATTTCATAAGCTTTGCTTTCTTTTCATTTTTCACAACTATTGATATTTATATCCATGTTCTGTTCCAGTATCAAAAGGATGAGAAGGTGACCCTGTGGGTGAACAAAGTTGGCCCTTATAACAACCCGCAAGAAACGTACAACTACTACAGTCTTCCTTTTTGCCGTTCATCTGGAAATGATGTTCACAAATGGGGTGGTCTTGGCGAGGTTCTTGGTGGAAACGAGCTTATTGACAGCGAGATTGACATCAAGTTCTTGAGTATGTTCTAGTTTTCATGCATAGTCATGTTTCCCTTGTGATTATCCTACCTGTGCTCGAGTTTCCTTACATTTTTTTTTCTTGTTTCTCTTCAGAAAATGTTGACAGAAATGTGATCTGTCATCTGGAACTCAATGAAGCAAATGTCAAGCAGTTTAAAGATGCAATTGAAAATAGTTATTGGTTTGAATTCTTCATGGGTATGTATTCAACTAACTAATACGTGCAGCTGATGAATTCCAAAGATTTATAGTCTTGATAAAGAATGTGTTGAATATTATTTGAGAGCCTTGATACCTTAGGAAAGTCAGTTCAAAACACTTGAAGCATTTTGGCATGCTTTAAGACTTCACTTTAGTGTTCATATTTTTTCTTGATTCTGAAGTATTTTTATTCTTGGTGTCCAATTTGGTGCAACTTTGTTTATGGAATTGGAGTATGTAGGATACAAAACGTTGTATGTAGTTTCCATTTTTCATTTTGATACAGCTGAATCGAAGCCTTATTAGACTGCTAACATGTCCCTCATCTGTCTTCTTTTCCCATCTGATGCACATGGCCTCGTGTTTGCTTGATGCAAGTTCAGATGACCTGCCATTGTGGGGTATGCACTTTTGAACATTTGTGGAAACATCTGATAATCTACGGTTTTCTATTTTTTAGACAAATTTTTTCTAGCTATGTTATCAATGTTCTAGGTTTTGTGGGTGAGCTGCATCCTGACAAAAGCAGTGATAGCGGCAAGCATGTCCTCTACACACATAAAAATATTGTTGTTAAATACAACAAAGAGCAGGTTAGTAGTTTCTCACCCTTCATGTGCCATATTATGTAGTTTAGGTCGGTACTTGTTGTCATGGCATCTTCATTTGTTTCATGAAGATCATTCATGTTAATCTCACTCAAGACAATCCGAGGCCATTGGAAGCAGGGAGGAAACTCGACTTGACGTACTCCGTGAAATGGGTACCAACAAATGTCACGTTTGCCCGTCGTTTTGATGTTTATCTGGACTATCCATTCTTTGAGCACCAGGTAAAAGTCATGAGCATGTTATGACCTTTATTTTGTCATCCTTCTGCCGTTGGTTTTGTAGTTCTTATTTGGTTCATAGTTTGATAATATGTGCAGAAAAAGCTTCATTTTATTTTATTTTTTAATTTAATGGTTGAAATCCGTATGTCAAGTTGTTTCATTAAGTTCCTTTCAATGTGCAGATCCATTGGTTCTCCATTTTCAACTCATTCATGATGGTTATTTTCCTCACCGGTCTGGTGTCGATGATTTTAATGAGGACTCTCAGAAATGATTATGCTAAATATGCTCGAGAAGATGATGATTTGGAGAGTTTGGTGATGTCTCCTCTGCCTTTTACATCTCATACCTGCACAAGTTGTTTTTCTTTTTTGCCTTTATGTTTTCCTGGCATCTAGTCAGTAGTCAAGTACTCTTTTCTTTATTTTAAGTGAGGGAATATATAGCCATTTCTGACAGACGGCAATTTCTAAGCACAGGAGCGGGATGTAAGTGAAGAGTCTGGTTGGAAACTTGTGCATGGAGATGTGTTCCGCCCACCTTGCAGCATGACTCTCCTCTCGGCTGTTGTCGGTACTGGTGCTCAGTTGGCGTTGCTTGTTCTTCTCGTCATCTTACTTGCAATCGTTGGTACACTCTACGTGGGGTACGTATTCAGCACTGATATTTGTTTGTATTCAACCTTTGCGATTTTCTAGTTGAATTTCTTTCTCACAGTATGGCCATTGTCATGTTTTGTTTTGTTCAGGAGAGGAGCAATTGTCACAACTTTCATAGTTTGCTACGCTTTGACATCCTTTGTCTCCGGTTATGTGAGTGGTGGAATGTACTCGAGGAACGGGGGTATGCATCTAGTTATTTACATCCAAAGCTCAATACTTTCGGGTTCCGGTTGGTTATATTCGGATTCAATTATTTCGTTTTCAGAAAAATTATAACAATTCGGTTTGGCTTGATTCGTGTTTGGATTTTATTGATAAAAGTACTGATTAGAAAGATTCAGTTTTTTCGGTTATTTTTTTAATATGTTCAGTTCTGATCGGGTTTGATTTTTTCAGTTTAGAGAAATCATAACAATTCTGATTTTTTTTATCGTATTTGGTCATCTGTTGTTTTGTTTGGTTATTCGATATTTTGATTTATTACCATTTGGAATTTCTGATTTTATTACTGTTGTTTTTTATTTGCAGGTAAACATTGGATCAAGTGCATGATACTTGCAGCCTCTCTGTTCCCATTTATGTGTTTTGGGATCGGCTTTGTCCTCAACACAATCGCTATATTCTACGGATCTCTCGCAGCTATTCCCTTCGGGACAATGGTTGTTGTTTTTGTAATATGGGGTTTTATTTCGTTCCCTCTGGCCCTTCTCGGAACCGTGGTTGGAAGAAACTGGAGCGGTGCTCCAAACAACCCGTGTCGTGTGAAGACAATCCCGCGTCCAATCCCCGAGAAAAAGTGGTACCTGACACCATCTGTTGTCTCGCTCATGGGAGGTCTTCTTCCCTTTGGAAGCATCTTCATCGAGATGTATTTCGTCTTCACTTCCTTCTGGAATTACAAGGTAAAGCTTCTTCACATCTTTCACAGTAAGGAAGAGCTTTTGATGAGTGTGACTAGAGGTTATCATTTCATTTTTTATATTGAATTTGGTTTCTATCCAGGTCTGGTTTGCATGGTTGAAATTATTTATTTTCCAAAGAAATATTCAATTTTTGGATTATTTTTGTACTTGCTTCGGTTTCTGTTGGTTTTCGGTTTTTATTGATTATTATTCATTTTCTAAAGAATTTTCGTTTTTTTGGTTATTTTATATTCGGGCAAAAGCAAAACCAAAATGAGTGGAAAAGAAGAATTCATGCGGCCGACCCCAAATAAATTTGGGATTAAGGCGATTTTGTTGTTGTTCGCATCGGTTTAGTTATGCACAACCGAACCGAAATAGCCACCCCATAGTGTAATATATGCGAGTTCTTAAGTTTTTATTTTTTTGGCTGACAGGTTTACTACGTATACGGATTCATGCTACTGGTGTTTCTGATTCTCGTAATCGTGACAGTATGCGTAACGATCGTGGGGACGTACTTCCTGCT